CCCCCCCCCCCCCCCAAATCTAATGGTCCATCCCTTATCAAGCGTGTATCAGTAGCATTATTTTTATCATTTTGTGGCCTGAAAATCTGTGATTTCAAGAGAAAAAGCTATACCTCAGTTTTGCAAATTTTCTCAATTTTGGCTGGCTGACATTTATTCTAAGATCAGCTGGTTGGTATTCTTATTTAATTTTTATTGATTTTGGAGAAACTTATTATTATTATTTTGCCCTAATGCTGTCAATAATGATTGCCCTATTTCATTATGACGTCACATGAAAATGATCTTTTATTTTAGCACCAAGAATCATGTTTGTGGGAGGGGGACAAAAAAGCAACAACATGAAGAAAACTGTGAAAAATTGTATTTTCAAACAAGCTGTGACGTCATAGTGTAATAGGGCATGGGTGGTGTAATGGTTTATTGCTCACCTCTCACCACTGTGGTTCGCATTCAAGCCCTGGCTCAGACTGGATCACATGTGAGTTGAGTTTGTTTGGTTGTTCTCCCCCTTGCCAAAGGGTTTTCTCCAGGTTCTCCAGTTTCCTCCCTCCGTAAAAATCAACATGTGAGTTGAGTGTTGTATGTTGTAAATATAGAGTGGTAGTGCATGTGGATTAAATATTCTCATTATTCTTATTGTTCCCAGTGCGATCCAAACCTCAGTGTCTATGGAGTCTGGGTTGAAACCTTGGATCCAAGGATGCCCAAAATAGCATTTTTTGCCAGTCGTGACATTCAATCAGGAGAAGAGCTTACCTTTGATTACCTAATGACAGCAGGAGAGTCTTCATCACCAGTTAGATCATCTGCCAAGAAAACTAAGAGAATCCCTTGTCAGTGTGGGGCTAAGAACTGTAGGAATTACTTATTTTAAAGCTCTATCTTTAAAGTGCGAATGAACCCTTCGACAACCCTTCTTTCACTACTGATTCTACATGAAGTAAATAGTTGAATGGTAAAATATTTCTTGATTTGAGTGATGCGTTTCTAAGTTATGAAGGTTTATACTTCCAATATGCTAATGAGTGTGACGTCTATTAAGGCTTAAGTAATATATACAGTATGAGTGGCCATGTTGTATCAGATATACAATCACAAGGCGTACACGAATACTGTATATGACTTATCAAACGTCTAGGTTAGTTCCTTTGTGTTTCACTAAAATTTTCAAAATTAAAGTGAATTTGGCCAAGAAAATCCAACGTAAAGTTTATGCAAATGAACACAGTTTTGTATCAGATTTACAACACTCTTCACGGTCATGATTTCTGTTGTGTTTTCCTCATGAATTATTCATGAGTTTGATAATTAAATATACAAAATCGAACTGGTTCATAGATACAGTATTCAAAAAGCATCATCATTTTACTCATGGTTTACATGAAAGCTATTTAAATTTTTTATTTTCAAAATGGCCAGCATTTAGTATTACTAGTTACAACAAAAACACTCAAATACCTTACCTGACTTCACCATCTTAACATATTGGAAGTATAAACCTTCATAACTTAGAGACGCATCACTCAAATCAAGAAATATTTTAGCAATCAACTATTTACTTTATGCAGAACCAGTACTGAATGTATTGTCAAATGGTTCATTTGCACTTAAATATGATGTACATATATAGTAGCAGCAGAATTTAATAATGGCTGGTCTTTAGACAATGACCAAAAAGAAACGTTTTCCAGTCAATTCTTTGCCTTCCTGGTCATTTTGACCAGTAATGTTGGACATAAGCAAGGTATGACCACACTTAAGCTAATTTGGTTGGTCATCATTGGCCAGGGGGTGTACTTGGGTGGGTAACATGACGGGGGGGGGGGGAG